TTTTAATATAAATTTATAACAAAAAAATATATTAATATATTTTTAGGGCACAAATTAGATACAATTAAAAATCAAGATTTATTGAGATTATAATGCTGCTTGGATTTCAGGTGAAATTGTTTAAATACTTATAATAAATTTTTTTTGTTGTGTTAATTTATTAAGGATATATTTTAATCTTTTTTTATTTTTAATAAAAGACAAAGATCTTTTGAATCTCCCCACTGTTTCTTCCCAGAAAACTGAGAATTGTTCTAATATTTTAATACTAAAACGTTGTAATTTTTTTTATCCCTGTTACTAATTTTAATATATCAGAATTTGATTAATGTAAAATACAAGTAAATACAAGTCAACAAATTTAAAGCAATTTAAGTAGTAGTGCACAACTTAAGAAAAACACTGGATAAATATATTAGAATTTCATGATCATGATGGATGAAAGTTAAGAAATTTTAAGGGTGTTTTAGTACTTTTATATTTCGGTGCAATTCATACTTGAAAAAATGTCCATCTTATCTATGTATGGATTACATGCAAATTTGAAATTTGAATTCAAAAACATTTCAAGACTCCCAACGCACAAGCTGTTGAATCAAGTTGCACACAAACTTCAAAATTATACATGTGCAAAGTTCTTCTTCCAATAAAATATACACATTAATTTTTGTTCGAGTTCTTGGAGAATGGCACTTGAACCTCACGGTCCAACGATCATAAGTCGATCTGTAAAGTGTATCCCTTAGCTTGAGGGTTGAGGTTCGATTCCCCCCACCCCCAAATTTGTAATCCTCTTCAAAAAAAAAGTTCTTGGAGAATGGACCGAAGAAGTAAGGAATGGAATTTAATCCTAGACTAAAGTGGGAGAAATGGTGTGCTGTTAGGCTGTAAAAGTTAAACCTGTCGTATAGTATTATTCTTTTTTTTTTTAAAGGCATTTATTTAAAGTGAGAAGTATATTTGTTAAAAAAAATTAATGATATATTTATTGTATATTTTTATTATTAATTCACATTAAAAATATAAAAATTAACTTTAACTCTATCAATCATAAATCCTTTTAAGTGATATTGATGTTAAAAATAAAATTTTTTTCAATAATTTTTCATATAAATTAACTGTAAAAAGATATAACTAGATAACAAGTTAGAAAAAAAAAATAATATTAAACAACTAGAGTATGCACATTCTTTCATTGAAAGCAAAGTATCCCTTTATCAATCATCATAACTTATGTTGCAGGGATTGAATGTAGAACAGAACTCTTTTCAGTTTTTTCTTTTTTGGTACATAGAACTCTTTTCAGTTGAGTCCACAGCAATTCTTCTTCATATATATACTACCTTCTTTAAGAAACTCTCTACCTTCATTTTTTCCTCAAAAAGATTCTTGCTTAGATGTGTTTCATTACTTAAATATTATTCTCTCCACACTAGAACAATAGATTTTTTGTTTTATCTTTAAATGAAGGATTTGAAAACAATTTTGGAATAAAGCAACTTTCAATGATGACCTTACATGGACCAGCAATAAGGAGTCTATGCTAAAGAATCATTTCATAGAGGTTGCTTGCCTTTTGAAGCAACATCATGCAGGCCTGAGAAGGGAATTTCAGGTAGGTTGGGATCCTCCACCAAGTGGATTTGTTAAGTTAAATGTTGATAGTTCTGCTCGCGGTTCACCTGGCTCTTCAACGGCTAGAGGCTGTTGCCGTGACGCATCAGGAAATTGGTTGTTTGGCTTCAATCAACAGCTAGGTGGTGGCCACGTCATTCGTGCAGAACTTTTTGCTTTATGGAAAGGCATGGAGCTAGCTTGGAACATGGGGTTTCGACATGTTATTGTGGAGACAGATTCTCTTTTAGTTGCTCAAAAATTGCAAAGTAGCTCCACAACAATTACATTATTGACTTATTGGGTTGAAAGGTGCAAGTCTCTCATGGAAAGAGATTCGACATGTGTTTTGATAGCAAAACTTTTATGCAGATGCAATGGCATCTCAGTTTTATCACCTAGGGGGAGGTTTCCATTATTTTGAACAACCCCCTGATGTGGTTCGATCTCTTCTTCAAGAAGATAATTTAGGAATTTGTAGGCTACGTGCCACTAGATAATCTAATGCTGTAAGCAATGCCCAATGTACCCAAAAAAAAAAAAAATTTATATTTACTTATTTTATACTTAAAAAATAACTAAAAATAAATATGTACTTCAATTAGAAGATGAATAATTAAAGTTAAGAAATAATTATAAGATTAAAGCAGAAAAAAATATTTATCTTCCTTAAAATAAAAAAATGACTATTATTCTAGAATAAATTCTAAATAAAAAATATCAATTATTTTGAGACAGAGAGAATATATTGATTTTTTTGTTAGAACATATCTACTAACAAGTATAAGATAAAAATTTTAAGCAAAATAAAATAAATTTACTAAACTTAAAAGTTGAAACCCAATATGACAATATATGATTTATATAAAAAGAGATAATGTTGTTTTTAGTCTTTATCAAGAAGTTAATAGTCCCTTTGGTGGTCCTTTTGTCTTCAAGCTTTCAATGACGAAAGCAGTGTTGCAGTTGCTTGTGTTGAGTCGCTTGTGGAGTCTCTTTTTTCTATTTCTAAAGCTGTTGGGTTGAGGTCGATGGATTAAAAGAGATTAGCACGAGGATAGTGAGATTGAATTCTGGAGAAATGTTGTA